AGCGTCGCAATATGTAAAATCTCATACCTTTAAATATCATAGTAGATATAAAGAGAAACTGGGTTTCGATTAATCTCTTGAGATTTTATTATTAGGGGGACTTTCAGTTCGCATAAAATGAACGATGAAGAGATTCGTTGGTTGATCTCACCAGATGAGGACAGATAAATCTCGTTCTACTGCAGCCGTTTGGCTTTTATACGATATTCATTTTGACGCAGTCCACAAGACTTCCACCCTCGTTTCGGGTGAAAACGTGCTAAGCTTTCGTCCATCATAGGATGGACATCATCAGAGCTGGGTGTCATTAGTGTAAAATTCTCACGTTAACATTAAAGCAAAAGCACTATCCGGCTCTATCTTACTTCTTATATAGACTCAATCGAGCCAAAAAAATTAAAAATTAAAAATTAAAAACCTAGATAGATCCAGATACAGTGGTTTGGTTAATTTTCTTTCATACTGATACTGTTGTTTTCGCTCAATTGTATAAGTATGTGTATTTGTGCGTGTTAGCGTTTATATGCAATAAGGTTCCTAAATCAGAGTTGTCAAAGTTTTAATCTCAGGTTCTGATCCTCAAGACCTAATGACCCAAGAGAAAACCTTGACGGAGACTGCGTATTACATATAGACTCTAACACGCACAAATACACATAAGAATACACTCGAGCAAAAGTAACAGAACCAGTATAAAAGATAATTAATCAAACCACTCTATATCGATCTATATATGTTTTTAATTTTCATTTGCCTCAATTGAGTCTATATAATATGTAAGATAGAGTCGGATAGTGTTCTTTGACTAGTGTTAAAGTGAAACTCTTAGAAGAATAAAACCCAGCTCTGATGGTGTTCATCATAAGATGGACGAAAGCTCAGCACGTTTTTACCCGAAACAAGCAAGGAAGTCTTGTGAAGTGCGTCAAAATGAATATCGTATAAAAGCAAAACGGTTGGAGTACAACGAGACCAACGAATCTCTTCTTCATTCACTTTCATGCGAACTGAAAGTCCCCCTAATAACTTTAAATATCAATTATTCACGCTTACCAATTCCTTTCTACTTCTACAGAGACTCATATACTTCCTGTTTATTTATGTTCTTTGAACACAACTTCATCCACGAAGTTAGATAAGCACAATGTTGGTACGAACACCTTACATCATATCCGAGTCTTTTAGTTGGTTTGGGTCTGTAAATTACCGTTATTGTAAGCGATATTGATAAATGTAGATATTACCTATTGATTAATGAAAAAGGTTCTGATTTTAAGTAAAAATTAATGGCTAAAGAAGTTGCAGGATAGCCGAAGATGAGCTCACCAGCCCCTGTTCCAATATGTTTTTCTTCAAAGCATGGCGTCTCGGAAAGTTTCATTTCGAACTGATCCGCCAGATCGTCCCCAGCTAGTGCTTCGTGTCCTCGTCCCTCAAAAGAAATTACTGAAGGCACCACATCAATTTGGTCTGTTATGGAATTCCCTTCTATCGACACTCTAGGATCTGCCTCTTCTTGTGACTCAGATTTTAGATGAAGACCAATATGCCGCAAATTGGAGTCAGATATTTCGGTGTCATATTCAGGTTGAAGATCGTGCTCAAAAGATAGAGTACCAGAAGAAACAACGACAGTGAGGTCGGATAATGGAGACGAAGGGAGAGGAGAGTGGGTAGTGGCTTCCAATGTGTAGGATTGCGATTTAAAGTTGGTGGAGGAAGGTCGCTCGATAAGAGACATCTAGAGAAAATAAAATGTTGAGAAAATT